TCGCTTCGTCCCTGGGTGTCCAGGAACGTTTTTCGCCATCGCGACTGAGGCGTGTGGCTGTTATTGCTGAGCCGCTTGGAAATTCCTCATTTGGACTCCAGCTATGAATCGTTCAACCTCCGTCTTCGAATTTCCTCCTTCGGAAGCGGATGATGGGCCTCCTGATTATTGCGCGGCTGCCCTGAAAACGAATTCCTCGCTGGAGGGAATCCTTAACGGAGCCTGTGGCTAAGAACACCCCACTTTCTGCCCGGCTGTCCCGGGGATGATGGGAGGTGTAGTCCGGGCGGAGTGACCGCCTGGGATATTCCGCTGGCCTTGGACAACCAGCAAAGCTATTTTTAAAGTGAGGGAAGTCCGAAGGAGGGTCGAGCGACCCTTCTAAGAGGCCACTGACTCTTTGAAAAGGAGGCACAGGGTGGGCGCATCCAACTCCTATATTTATTTAAAACATTTATATGCCCCCTCCCCAGAGCTGGTTGAAAGGTGGGCGGCTGTATAAATCTTTTAAATAAATGAATAATGCGGTATATTCAGGATGTAAAAATCCACCTATTTGGATGAGATCCCTGTTTCCACTGCGCCTAAACACACAGGCGCACAGCGCGCTCACTGGGAACTGCGCCCGATCCCAAACCCGGCGCCCTGCCCGCCTTTCGGAGGCCTATCCTCTCAACTGCAAAAATTTAACAAAGAAAAGCAAAGACATCGGAGGAGAGATAATCCTCCCTGGCATCTCAAGTCTACCCGCAAGGCCTCCGCCGTAATGTGCAAGAGAGCCAGTTTTCTCAGGAAAAGGTCCGGGTTCAGACGACATAAACACCCGAATGCCGCGTAAACGACGCCAATGGCGCGATTCCTTCCCTCACCCTCATGGCGGACAGATAAGAGGTGTCCACGCAGCCAGATCCAACGGGAGACGAATCGGATTAAAGTAGTAAGAAATTGTCTTTTAAGAAAGAAAGGAAGAACGAAAGAAAGGAAGAAAAAGAAAGAAAGAAAGAAAGAAAGAAAGAAAGAAAGAAAGAAAGAAAGAAAGAAAGAAAGAAAGAAAGAAAGAAAGAAAGAAAGAACACTAACAGGGTTTTAATGATAATCCAAGAAGGGTCCTTGATGCTCTCTGATCTTGGTTGTTTTCTTGCAGACGTTTTACTGCCCAGACTAGGTAACATAATCAGTCCTAGGATGGAGTGGGGAGAAGGAGAAGGAGAAGGAGAAGGAGAAGGAGAAGGAGAAGGAGAAGGAGAAGGAGAAGGAGAAGGAGAAGGAGAAGGAGAATAATTGTGGGGTTCTTAGTAGTCTCTGAGCTTGCTTGTTTTCTTGCATTTCATGACCCAACTAGGGAACATCATCAGTGCTAGAAGGGAGTGGGGTTTGGAGGAAGGAGAAGAGGAGAGGTGTGTGTGTGTGTGTGTGTGTGTGTGTGTGTGTGTGTGTGTGTGTGTGTGGTGTTTCTTTGCAGCAGCAGTGGAGCTCCTGGTCCTCCAGAAGCTTCACCAGCCAGATGGCACTGTTGTCCTCCATGAAAGTCCTTGGAGAAGACGTTCAAAGTCAAAGCACCTACAAAGACCAGAATTGTGCAAGCAGAATTTGTGATATCTCCCATGACCCTCTATGGAAGGAAAAGTTGGACTTTGAAGAAGAACCGGAAGAGGATGGAGATTTTTGAGCTTTGCGGTTGGAGAAGGCTCCTGACTGAGAACATTTCGTGGACCACCAAGAAAATTAACAATGTGAAATAAAGAAGATATGTTAAGAGAGAGAAGCAAGTATGACGATTATTATGTTCATTACTATCATTTTAATATTATAGAATTAATGTTAATGTAATGGATATTGTTGTAAATCTTGATTATTGTTTTACAAAGATATTTGTACCTGGATGACACACTGTTTAATTCAAGATGGAATTATTATCTTAAAAAATAAAAATTGTATTAAAAGAAAATAAAAGAAACAATGGATCATCAAACACAGAGTTCCAGGTCTAGAGAAGGATTAAGGGGGATTTAATCCAGGTAGTGCAGAGTTCCTGGTCCTTCTGAATGGCTGTTTAGGTGAGCTCAGAGGCTCCAAGGAGATCTTGGCTGGCGGAGAGGGGACGATGACAGGCATTTCCTTGGGACGGGACCAGAATAACAGAGTTGGAAGGAACCTTGGAGGTCCTCTAGTCCAACCCCCTGCTTAAACAGGAGCCCTTATACCACCCCATACAAATGGTTGTCCAATCTCTTCTTAAAAGCTTCCAGTGATGAAGCACCCACAACTTCTGGTGGCAAGCTGTTCCACTGGTAAATTGTCCTCACTGTTAGGAAATTCCTCCTTAATTCCAGGTTGCTTCTCTCCTTGATTAGTTTCCACCCGTTGCTTCTTGTCCTGGTGCTTTGGAGAATAGGTGGATCCCCTCTTCTTTGGGGCAGCCGCTCAAATATTGGAAGACTGCTATCGTGTCACCCCGAGTCCTTCTTTTCATTAAACCAGACATACCCAATTCTTGCAATTTGGCTGAGGATTTCTGGGTATTAAGTCTTAAAGTTTCCAAGGTTGGACACCCCTGACTGGAATCTAATTCCAGGTGCATAATATACCTTATCCTGGCACAATTCCTACAGGATCCTGGGCGCTGGAGTCCAACCTGAAGGTTGAGAAATTCTTGAATGAATGAATGAATGAATGAGCTGGAAGGGACCTTGGAGGTCTTCTAGTCCAGCCCCCTGCTCAAGCAGGAGAACCTATACCATTTCAGATAAGTGAGAGCCTTGGTGGCGCAGCAGACTAAAGTGCTGTTAACTAGCACCAGCTGCCTGCAATTACTGCGAGTTCAAATCTCACCAGGCTCAAGATTGACTCAGCCTTCCATCCTTTCGAGGTAGGTAAATTGAGGACCCGGATTGTGGGGGCAATAAGCTGACTTTGTATAAAAAAGAACACCGCTTGGGGGGGGCCGAAAGCCCTACTAAGCAGGTATATACAAAAGTATGAAAGCTGTTGCTTAACGCATTGTAAGCCGCCCTGATTCTCTGGAGAAGGGCGGCATATAAATCGAACCAATAAATAAATAAATACTCTAACAGACTCTTCTTCCTTATGCAAAATCTAATACGGATCTCTGCAACACATAGGCACGTTGTGGGTGCGATTCCTGGCCAAGGAAACATAACATTTGACACCAGTTAGCCTCAGATACTTGGTGGAGCTCACACCCAGCCCAGGGGTGGAATCCAATTTTTTTACTACCAGTTCTGTGGGCGTGGCTTGGTGGGCGTGGTGTGGCTTGGTGGGCATGGCAGGGGAAGGATACTGCAAAATCCTCATTCCCACCCCACTCTGGGGCCAGCCAGAGGCGGTATTTGCTGGTTCTCTGAACTGCTCAAAATTTCCGCTACCGGTTCTCCTGAACCTGCCAGAACCTGCTGGATTTCACCCCTGACCCAGCCCAAGGAACTTCAAAGCCCATCCTTCCCCAACTTGGTCTGTATGAGGTTACGGCTCCTGTCTGTTCTCTTGACAGTTTGAGGAATCATGGGAGCTGTAGTTCAACAGTTCGGGGACCAGCAGCGCCACCTGCCTGTGGCTTTGAGGTTTTCCTCTTAGGCTGCCCCATCATCTCGGTTCTTAAGTTTTAATCTTTTAATTCTAGTTTTGGTTTTTTAAAGCACTTTTTAATCTTTTTTTTTAATATTGTAAACGACCCAGAGTCGCTGTATTAGTGAGATGGGTGGCATAGAAATGTAATAAATAAATAAATAAATAAATAAATAATAATAATATATATTAGCTGGGAAGGGGAGGGGGAAAATCTATAGAGAAACAGTAATTTTGACGAGGAAGAAGGTGACATATATCTAATGTTGATTTTATGTCTGGGGGTTATAAGCAGCCCCATTTCCAAAACTTCTGAAGCTTGCAGCTGAACTGTTTGGATGGCTCTCTTTTATCCTTTTGTTATTTATTATGTCCTTTTCCAAACATGGACACTGAAACGATATACCGTATTCCAGAGCCAGAGGCACAATACATTTCACATAAGGGCATTGCTGTGTTGGCAAGTTTAACAGAATAACAGAGTTGGAAGGGACCTTGGAGGTCATCTAGTCTAACCCCCTGCACAAGCAGGAAACCAGATACCTCCTGATTTTTGGCTACCAAGCACTAAGGCAGATTCTCCTTCTTGCAATGGAAGCAAAATGGTTTCCCTCATTTCGAGATCTCAGATACCCAGCACTAGATCCTTGAAGACCCCGGAGAAGAAGGGAGGGTAAAATAGCAGAGTAGAGACGGAGTCGGTGCTCTCGCTGGGGAGGACAGTGGGAAACGGTCAGGACAGGAAATGATTTGACTTGCTGTGGTGGAATGAGGGACAGTGACGTGGTTGTCCCAAAGGTGCATTTTTTTCCTCCAAAAGGCAACTGGGCTGTCTTGGTTGTTGTTGTTTTCTTTGAAAACATTTCGCTTCTCCTCCAAGAAGCTGCTTCAGTTTCCCACCGGTCACTTAGAACCGAGGAAGCTTCTTGGATGAGAAGCGAAACCTCTTCAAAGGCAAAACAGAAAACAAAACACATGAGAAACTCTAGTTGCCTTTTGGGAAAAGCATCCTTTGACCTGGAAGAATGGGACTCTTCATAGACAGGGAAGTGGAAGCTGTAAATGGGGTTCCCTTGTGGATCCCCCCTTGGTAGTTCAGTGGTCTAAGGCACCCTGTTATTAAGCTGGTTATTAAGACCAGCTGCCTGCAATTTCTGCAGGTTCGAATCTCTCCAAGGCTCAAGGTTGACTCAGCCTTCCATCCTTTCAAAGGTAGGTGAAATGAAGACCCAGTTTGTGGGGGCTATAAGCTGACTTTGTATAAATATACAAAAGTATGAAGGCTATTGCTTAACGCATTGTAAGCCGCCCTGAGTCTTCGGAGAAGGGCGGCATATAAATCAAATTAAAAAAAAAAAATGTCAGGGAAAGTTGAGGTGGAATACTAACAGTGAGAAAGGATCATTGACAGTAGCTGAATCATCTCTGTTTTTATTTGTTGGTATCCCACCTTTATTATTTTTCCAAAGAAGGCACTGAACATTACCAACACGTCTTCCTCCTCCTATTTGCCCCCCCCCCCACAACAACCCCCCTGTGAGGTAGGTTGGACCAAAAGAGAAAAAGAGAGAGAAGGGGGACTGGCTCAGTCACCCAGCCGGCTTTCGTGCCTAAGGGCAGAACTAGAACTCACACTAGTCTCCTGGTGATTGGCCCAAAGTCACCCAGCCGGTTTCCAAGACGATGCTACAACTCACAGCCTCCAGTTTTCTAGCGTGGTGCTTCAAGGCTGGACCCAACGGTTGAATTTGGATGTGGGCATTTTTACATGGGTGAAAACTGTCGTGTTTGGCCAACACTGTTGTGCTGGAGAGGGAGGCCAAGAGAGTCCCTGGACAATGCTGAACTCAAGGTTTGAAAGGTCTTCAGACAAGGAGAGCTTCCCTCTCCCCTCCTTGTCCAGCCTGATCAGCCCAGGTTGGGCCTCCTTGTGCACCCATCTGCAGGTCTTCTCGGTACGCTCACAAGGTGCTCGTGCAGCTGGATTCAGACGCAGCCTCTTTCGGGACCGCGCCAGCCCTCCAGGGTAGCCTTCTGTAGGAGAAGCAGAACCGTCCGGCGGGAGGAGTATCTGGGCTCTCTCCATTCAACTGTGGGAAGACCAAGGAAGCCAGTCAGAAGGAGAAGCTGAAAGGTATCTCCTCCGGCCAGAGAAAGCTTCGCTGAAGCCAAAGCAGACACCGGGAGAGGGAGCTTGCCGTTGTGTCTCTGTATGAACGACTGCTCTGGCCTTGGAATAGAACAGAGCTGGGAGGGACCCGGGAGGCCTTCTAGTCCAACCCCCGGCTAGAACAGGAGACCTCATGAGCCCTGGTGGTAAGAAGGCAGTACTGCAGTGCAGGATCCTTCTGCTGACTGCCGGCTGCCTGCGATTTGGCAGTTCGATTCTCACCAGGCTCAAGGTGGACTCAGCCTTCCGTCCTTCAGAGGTGGGTAAAATCAGGACCCAGATTGTTTGGGGGGAGAAGATGCCGACTCTGTAAACCGCTTAGAGAGGGATGGAAAGCCCTGTGAAGCGGTATGTAAGTCTTAAGCGCTGTTGCTATTGTTGTAGGACAAATGGCTGTCCAACCTCTTCTTAAAAGCCTCCAGTAATGGAGCACCCACAATTTCTGGTGGCCAGCTGTTCCACTGGTTAATTGTCCTCACCGTCAGGAAGTTTCTCCTTAAATCAGGTTGCTTCTCTCCTTGATTAGTTTCCATCCATTGCTTCTTCTTGTCCTGCCCTCTTACTTGAAGTGCTTGTTGCTGTTGAAGACTTTTTTTCTCCCCCCCCCCCACTTTTTATTTTCTTTAGGTGGCCTGGTACAAGATACAGGTGGAGGAAGCAAAAGAGAATCTCCTGGAAACTTAGCTCATTCCCGTTCAGATTTATGAGTTATGCGGACGCAAGGAGGGATGGGCAAGTGGACACATTTTGGGGTGCATTTTGGAGGGTGGAGCTTGCTTTTCAGCATCAGTTTAGAACAAGACTAAGAGGGAATGGAAAAGATCATTCGGATCACAAACGTTTCTGGAATACCTGAAAAAAAGCACCTGAGGGCAGGAGAAGAAGCAACGGATGGACTCATCAAGGAGAGAAGAGATCTGGAACTAAGGAGGAATTTCCTGACAGTGAGGACAATTAACCAGTGGAACAGCTTGCCACCAGAAGTTGTGAATGCTCCAACACCGGAGGTTTTTTGTTTTTTTAAAAAATTTTTATTTGATTTATATGCCGCCCTTCTCCGGAGACTCAGGGCGGCTTACAATACGTTAAGCAATAGCCTTCATACTTTTGTATATTTTATACAAAGTCAGCTTATTGCCCCCACAAACTGGGTCCTCATTTCACCTACCTAAGAAAGGATGGAAGGCTGAGTCAACCTTGAGCCTGGTAAGATTCGAACCTGCAGAAATTGCAGGCAGCTGTGTTAATTACACAGGTGTAATTAATTACAGGGTGCTACAGGTTTTAAGAAAAGATTGGAGAAACCATTTGCCTGAAATGGCATAGGGTTTCCTGCCTAAGCAGGGGGTTGGACTAGAAGTCCTCCAAGGTCCCTTCCAACCATTCCATTCCATTCCATTCCACTCTACTCTACTCTACTCTATTCCAGTTTTCTATTCTATTCTATTCTATTCTATTCTATTTTATTCCAATTTCCTATTCTATTCTATTCTATTCTGTTCTGTTCTGTTCTGTTCTGTTCTGTTCTATTCCAATTTCCTATTCCAATTTCCTATTGCATTCTGTTCTATTATGTCCTGTCCTGTCCTCTGCTGTCCTGTCCTATCCTATCCTATCCTATCCTATCCTATCCTATCCTATCCTATCCTATCCTATCCTATCCTATCCTATCCTATTCCCATTCCCATTCCCATTCCCATTCCCTGGTTCTGAATATCCAGGGACTTCTAGCTGGCTTAAGGCAACTGCTGATGGATGGATGGATTTTGAAGGCCCTCCAGTTCCTACTTTGGGTGCCTCTATTCTTGCGTTCTCCTAAGGAGGCTGTGTTTTGTCGAGTCAAGATCCCTCGGCCTAAAGAGTGACCTTGGGTGCCTAACATCTCCCCCCCGCTTCTGATGTTGGATGTCATCTTCTGAAGCCCATGTCTGGACGGGCGAAGGAGAAATTAAATGGCCAGACTCTATAAAGTTTGGCCAACTTCCTTCTGAACGGCCTTCTTCTCTTTCTGAAGCGCAGTGGCCTCCAACTTTGTTGCTTCTACACCGAGAAGAAACTTTCTTCCTTTGGTCCCGAGGTTCTTCCAGATCCAGGTGGGAAGCAGGATTTTCGCCCAGCCCTGAGACGGACCTGAATGGCTTCTTCTCGGTTTCCATCCTGCTGCACTTCTTCCTGGCGGCTCTTCTTTTTCGTCCACGTGATCCACTTTTGATATATCCTGCAAAAGATGATCGGTGGGATGGTAACTTCGGATATCACCCAGCTACCAACTTGGATGGTCTCATCCGGCTAGAACAGGGGTGTGAAACTCGAGGCCTGTGGGCCGGATGCGGCCCAGAGGGTGCTTAGACCTGGCCTGGGCCTTCCATGGAAACGGTGAAGGGCCGGGCTCCGTTTTCACTGGCAGAGGGCTGCAGGAGGCCGTCGTGGCTGGAAACGGAGCCTCAATGAGTGACGTCAAGCTGGCCACGCCCACCCTGTCCATGCTCCTCCCACCAAGGTCAAACACAACTCTGATGCAGCCCTCAGTGAAATCGAGTTTGACACCCCTGTGCTAGAATGATAGAGCCCTAAGGATGGATAGGCCCACCGGATCAGCTAATGCAGGGCTCTCCGAATTTGGCAACTTTAAGACTTGTGGACTTCAACTCCCAGAATTCCCCAGCCAGCCAAGCTACTTAGATTTTAGAAGAGAATATTTGTAGCGCAGGTTGAACTGTAGGAGGAGGAGGAGGAGGAGGAAGGAGGAGGAGGAGGAGAAGGAGGAGGAGGAGGAGAGGAGGAGGAGAGAAGAGGAGGAGAAGAGGAGGAGGAGGAGAGGAGGAAGAGAAGAGGAGAAGAGGAGGAGGGAGGAGGGAGGAGAAGAGGAGGAGGAGAAGAAGAGGGGAGGGGGGAGGAGGAGGGAGAGGAGGAAGAGGAAGAGGAGAAGAGGAGGAGGAGGAGGAGGAGAAGAGGAGGAGGAGAAGCAGAGGGGAGGGGGGGAGGAGGAGGAGGAGAGGAGGAGGAGAAGAGGAGAAGAGGAGGAGGAGAGGAGGAGGGGAAGAGGAGGAGGAGGGGAAGAGGAGGAGGGAAGAGAAGGAGGAGAGGAAGAGGAGGAGGAGAGGAGGAGGAGAAGGAGAAGAGGAGAAGGAAGGTGGAGGAGGGGAAGAGGAGGAGGTGAGGAGAAGGAGAGAAAAGGAAGAGGAGGAGGAGGAGGAGATGATGAGAAGAAGAAGAGCAGAGAAGGGAGGACGTGGGGGAGAGGGAGGAGGAGGGGAAGAGGAGGAGGGGAAGAGGAGGAGAAGGAGAAGGAGAAGGAGAAGAGGAGGAGGAGAGGGAGGAAGGAGGGGAGGAGGGAGGAAGAGGGAGGAGGAGAGTGAATGGGGAATTATGGGATTTGAAGTCCGCAAGTCATAAAGTTGCCAAAATTGGAGACCCCTGCCCTAGGAGAAGGACTCTTCATGACCCCATGGACCGCCGTATGCCAACTGGTCGTAATTCAAGGACTACCTCTATGGCGTAGCTAACCTAACTGTCAGCCTAAAGGAGAGCTTGGGAGGGAGCCTGCCCCATCCAGTGCTGGACTTCTCAATACCCCCCAGCTGAGTCTCACCGGGATCCGTTCGTTTTCATGCCAAAGACCAGGCCGGCCAGAGCAGCTATGCAGACCAAGGCAACGGCTGTTCCAAGCCAAGATCTTGAAGATGGTCAGTTTAGTGAGCACTGCAGGCAAAGAGAAGGAGAGAGAGAGAGACGGAGTCTTTAACAGAATAATAGACTTGGAGATCTTCTACTCCAACCCCCCCCCCGTTAAGGCAGGAAACCCTCTACCATTTAAGACAAATGGCTGTCCAATCACTTCTTTAAAACCTCGAGTGATGGAGCTCCCACAGCTTCTGGTGTCAAGTTGTTCCACTGGTTAATTGTTCTCACTGTTAGGAAGTTTCTCCTTAGTTCTAAGTTGCTCCTCTCCTTGATTAGTTTCCACCCACTGCTTCTTGTCCTACCCTCAGGGGCTTTGGAGGATAGCTTGACTCCAGAGGTGGGTTTCAGCAGCTTCTGACCAGCCTTGGTGGCGCAGCAGACTAAAGTGCTGTTAAGTAACACCAGCTGCCTGCAATTACTGCAAGTTCAAATCTCACCAGGCTCAAGGTTGACTCAGCCTTCCATCCTTCCGAGGTCGGTAAAATGAGGACCCGGATTGTGGGGGCAATAAGCTGACTTTGTATAAAAAAAGAACACCGCTTTGGGGGGCCGAAAGCCCTACTAAGCAGGTATATACAAAAGTATGAAGGGTGTTGCTTAACGCATTGTAAGCCGCCCTGAGTCTCCGGAGAAGGGCGGCATATAAATCGAACCAATAAATAAACCAATAAAATAAATAGTTCTGGAGAACCGGTAGCAGAAATTTTGAGTAGTTTGGAGAACCGGTAGTAAAAATGCTGACTGGCCCCATCCCCACTTATTCTCTGCTTCCCAAGTCCCATTAAGTGAAATTGACCCCGTTTTACGACCTTCCTTGCCACAGTCGTTAAGTTAGTTGTAACAGGGTTGTTCTGCGAATCTGGCAACCTCATCGACTTTGCTTGTCCGAAGGTCGCAAAAGGGGATCGAATGAATCCCAGGACGCTGCACCCGTCATAAATCCAAACTGGTTGCCAAGCCTCCGAATTTTGATCACGTGACCCTGGGGCCTTAAGTCGCTTTTTTCAGTGCGTTGTAACTTTGAACGGTCACTAAATGAATGGTTGTAAGTCGAGGACCCACCTGTGTTTTTCCAGATTCATTAGCTCAACCGGAATGACCTAGCTAGTGATTCTAGAAGTTGAAATCTAGCTTCACCAAAGGTTGCAAGTTGGAGAAGACCAATCCACCGTACATCTCCAGCTCTGTCTCCACCCTGTCCCTCCAGGGAGTCTACTTACGTCCGGCATTGAAGGCGATGCTGCTGGTTGCGTTGCCGAAGGTGTTGTTAGCTTTACACACAAAATCCCCTGAATCTTTTTCTGTGATGTCCTGAATCTCCAGTCTCAAACGGTTATCCGAGTAGAAGGTGTGGAAACGCTGACGAACTAGTGAGAAGCTTTTGGTGGCAGCCAGGAGTTGCCCTCCTTTGTACAGGGCCAGCGTGGAAGGTGGGTGGCTCTCCACTTGGCAGGTGATGATAGCCAACTTCCCGTTCTGAATGTCCAGGTAAGCGTTCAAGGAGGGGCGTTCAGGTGCATCTACATTAACAAGAACAAAAGAACTTCCCTGATCAACAGCCAGGCCAATCAGCCATCGACAGACACATAGAGATAAACAACGTTTACATGCCATTCAAATGAGAACAACCAAAAAGCTAAAGGACCACAACACCTCCTTGCCAAGCAATCAGCACCCACATAGGCAGAGATTAACGCCAAGATGAACACCAGACCAACAATCAAAGAATAAAGAATAACCCAATCAAGGAGCTATTAATTCAGACAAACAATCCAAGAGAAAGAAAACAGCCTAATCAAGGAATCACCAGGAACGCTCCCACCAACACTGTCAAGGCAAGCCATGAATCTATAAAACCAGAGAAAACTCCACCTAGATGTTACCTAGTTGGGTCATGAAATGTCTGTAAGAAAACCACCAAGCTCAGAGAGCACCAAATCTTTTTTCTCCCCCTCCCCTTCTCCCCCTGCTCTTCCCCTCCGCAAACCCCCCCTCCCTTAGCTCTCATGATGTTACCTGGCTGGGTAATGAAACCTCTGCATGAAAACAGCCAAGCTCAGAGAGCACCAAGGACTCCACAGTTCTTCTTCTCCTCTTCCTCCTCCTCCTCCTCCTCTCTGCAAACCCCCCTCCCTTCTAGCACTCATGATGTTACCTGGCTAGGTAATGAAACATCTGCATGAAAATAGCCAAGCTCAGAGAGCACCAAGGACCCCACGCGACAGATCCATTCCTGGCCTTGGGTCTGTGGACCAGATGTTTCTACTATTTATTGAATGTTTTAATATTGAACTTGTTCCTGTTTGAAACTCAAGAAGAACTGTTTTTATTGTGTAATGACAACAACTGGTAAGAAGACTTTGTACTTGGAATATCCCTGGATTGATATTTTAACTATCGCCTTATCTGTGTATGACTTGGATTGTTATTGGACTTTGCTTTACTTTTTCCTAAAAGTAAAAGACTACAACAACTCAGTGTGTCAGTATATTAACTGTGATTATTTATAAACACTCTCAGCCGTTTTCATGTGCATACTCAAGGGGTACTTTGCTCCATAATCCATAACATCGGTTATGAGCCAAGAATATCCTTAACACCAGATTAGCCATCTGCCTGCTGGTGGGCCGTCGCTGAGGCGAAATGGCCCACAACGTTCTCGAGCCACAATACTCACACTGCACCTTCAGCTGGACAAAGGCTGAGGTCAGACTTCCCGTCCTTCCGGTTGCCTGGCAGTGGTAGGCCCCGGTGTCATCCCTGGTCACTCGGCTCAAGAGGAGGGAGCCATCGGGACTATCCCAAAGCCACCGGCTGTTCTTGTACCAGGTGTAGTTCATGGGCTCCACCACCCGGCTGGCAATCTCACAGGTCAGGTTGGCCGGAGCGCCTTCGTGGACATCTGGCGATGGGTCGATGGTGATTCTTGCACCTGACGGGGTGAAGAGCAAACGAGGAATGGAAAGAGCCCGGCCCCTTCGCTGACTCGCCTTCTCTCCCCATCCTACCCTAAAACAAGAGGGTTGTTGAGCGCTGCTGGCTGGGGGATTCTAGGAGTTGAAGTCCACCCACTGCTGTAGAAGATCTTAGCCTACAACTCTCATCATCCTGAGCCATCTAACATACCTTCCCTGGCTTGGAGAAGTCTATCTTAGAGTAGAAAGAGGAAGGAAGGAGAAGAACGACTCACTCGGCACCCTGAAGTGTATCGAGGCGGCAGAGGTCCCGTAGGCGTTCTTAGCTAGGCAGCGGTATTGTCCTTCGTCCTCCTGAAGGACCTTCTGGATCTCCACTTTCAGGACGTTGTGAGAGGCGTGAACGACGTACCGTTGAGCGGGCAAGTTCCCTGAGAGCCTGCTGGAAGCCGCCACCATCACGTTTCCTCGGTGGAGCGTCAGCTCAGCGGGCGGATAGCTCTCCACGGCGCACTGCAGGACGGCCTGGTGGCCCGAGGGGCTTTCCAGGAATGAGGTGAGGGTGACCTTCTTGGGCTCGTCTGCGGAGAAGACCAGATTTAGAACGTCAACCGTAAAAGGGGGCCCTGCTTCTGGAACAGGCGGTGGCCACTGGTGGCACACGTGGATCCTGTACAGGTGGTCCTCCACTTACGACGGTTCATTGAGGGACCGTTCCAAGTTACAATGGCTGTGAAAAAAGGGACTTAGGACCCTTTTCACACTTAGGACCGTTGAAGCATCTCCCTCCCCCCCATGGTCACGTGATCAAAATTTGGATGCTTAGCAACTCCTCCCCCTCTTACTTGACTATCTTCTCCTGTCTCTTTTTCTTCTCTCTCTTTCTCCTTCTTTCTTTCTCTGTCTTTCTCTTTCTCCTCCTCCTCCTCCTTTCTCCTTCTCCTCATCTATCTTCTGTCTCTTTTTCTTCTCTCTTCTTTCTCTTTCTCCTCCTCCTATCTTCTCCTTTCGCCTCCTCCTCATCTCTTTCTCTTTCTCCTCTTCCTTTCTCCTTCCTTCTTCTTGTCTATCTTATCCTGTTTCTTTCCTTTCTCCTCCTCTTTGTCTTATCTTCTCCTTCCTCCTTCCTCCTTGACTATCTTATCCTGTCTCTTTCTCTTCTCTCTTTCTCTTTCTCCTCCTCCCTTTCTCCTTCTCCTCATCTATCTTCTGTCTCTTTTTCTTTCTCTCTCTTTCTCTTCTTTCCCTTTCTCCTCCTCCTTCTATCTTCTCCTTTCTCCCACTCCTCCTTGTCTTTTTCTCTTTCTCCTCTTCCTTTCTCCTTCCTTCTCCTTGTCTATCTTCTCCTGTCTCTTTCCTTTCTCCTCCTCTTTGTCTTATCTTCTCCTTCCTCCTCGCCTATCTTCTCCTGTCTCTTTCTCTTTCCCCAATTCCTCCTCCTTCTATCTTCTTCTTTCTCCTCCTCCTCCCCTCTGCTCACTCAGGGTATATCCATGACCTTACAGGCACAAGTCAACCTTTATAGCACCTCCAGAGACCCCAGACCTGGCCCTTGACCAAAGGATCTGATCTCCCTTTGAGCCTGGTGACCTCCAGACCTGCTGAAGCCCCCCTGCCACCTTCTCGGGTCAGTAGTTCCCATCAGGAGCAAGGACAACAGTTCGTTGGAAACAAGGCTGAAGACAGACAGCTATGGGCCTGACGATATGTTGGGATCCAGACAGACAGACAGAGGAAGTTCTGTCCTCCACCCCGAAGCCAGAAGGTACTCACAGTGCACATAGAGAGCGACGGGTGGAGACATCCTGGTGCCCCTTTCGTCTTGAGCCTGACAAGAGTAGGATCCCATGTCCCGGGGAGTAACAGCTCGGAGCAGGAAGGAGGTGGCCGGACCTTCTCCCAACCACCTGGCATCCTTGTACCAGGTGTAGAGGGCTGACGCTTGGAAGTTGGCATCTTCACAGATCAGAGAGACACGCTGTCCTTCGTGCACATCTGGGGCGGGCTCAATCACCAGCCTTAGAGCTATCCGGGGAGGAGAAGAAGAGCGACATGGACGGATGCAGAAGTCCTCCAACCTCCGTTCCCTCATGCTAAGTCAGTGTTTCTCAACCTTGGAAAGCTTGAAGATGGGTGGACTTCAACTCCCAGAATCCCCCAGCCAGCAGCGCTGGCTGGGGGATTCTGGGAGTTGAAGTCCACCCATCTTCAAGCTTCCAAGGTTGATCAACACTGTGCTAAGTCAACGGTGTTACAGGTGTTATGTCTACCTTATATGCAGCTCTATCGTTCTTCTCTATTGTAGTTGTTTCCCCGAATCACATGGCCACTCTAGGATTCATCTCTATTGTTCCCGCGATGCATTGCCTGTCCCTGTTGTATTTACTCACTCTCTAGTCAAAGGCTTTCGGCACAGGGATGGCCTGTAGTGTGCTTACTTACTCTACGTGAAACGAACGGACGGAGTGAACATCCTCCACCATCGCCCCCTAAATTGCCTTCTTTCTACTCTTCGGAGCCTTCAACAACCTATCAAGCGCCTGATGGACCAGAAGGAGCTGCAGGTCCTACACTTCCTGTAGGTGTACATGCCCTGCGCGTGTACATGCTTGCTTCGCACGCATGTGTCCGTGCACGCGCCTGGCCTTCCACGCATGTGCTTTCCTTGCTCGTGTGCCTTCCGCGCATGTGCCCAGTCTCGAAAACGTGCCTAAATAGCACGACTTGGAGTCGGGACTGGTTCGCCCGAACCGGCTGAATACCACCTCTGCTCCTGCAGCACTCTGCCTGCTGTCCGCCGGGGCCAGCCTGGAAATGTCAAAGGATCAGCTGGTGGGCGTTAAATTTGACACCCCTGATTTAGAGCTAGGAAGGTTCATGTCCTCCTGGCCTCTGGACTCCCTTCCTGCCTCCAGGAGTTTGGCTCCTTGGCTGGAGGAAAAGAACGGCGGTGCAGAACCCAATATCTCATCCCAGGTAGTCCTTGAGTTACCACAGTTCGTTTAAGGACGGTTCGAAGTTACAACGGGCCTGAAAAAAGTGACTCAGGACCAGTGGTGAAATCCAATTTTTTTTTTACTACCGGTTCTGTGGCTTGGTGGGCGTGGCTTGTTGGGCATGACAGGGGAAGGATACTGCAAAATCTCCATTCCCGTCCCACTCCAGTGGAAGAATACTGCAAAATCCCCATTCCCTCCCCATTCCAGGGGAAGGTTACTGTAAAATCCCCATTCCCTCCCCACTCCAGGGGAAGGATATTGCAAAATCTCCATTCCCTCCCCACTTCAGGAGAAGGTTACTGCAAAATCCCCATTCCCTCCCCACTCCAGGGGAAGGTTACTGCAAAATCCCCATTCCCTCCCCACTCCAGGGGAAGGTTACTGCAAAATCCCCATTCCCTCCCCACTCCAGGGGAAGGATATTGCAAAATCTCCATTCCCACCCTACTCTGGGGCCAGCCAGAGGTTGTATTTGCCGGTTCTCCGTACTACTCAAAATTTCCGCTACCGGTTCTCCAGAACCTGCTGGATTTCACCCCTGCTTAGGACCGTTTTCCCCCCACTTATGACCCCAAGGTCACGTGATCAAAATCCAGACACTTGGCAACTGACTCATTTTCACGATGGTCGCAGCGTCCTGGGGTCATGTGACCTTCTTTCGTGGCCTTTTGACGAGCACCGTCAACGGGGAAGCGGGATTCCCTTAACAACCGTGTCACTTAACAAGTGTGGCAAGGAAGGTCATAAAATGGGGGGGCGGGGGAAACTCATTTAATGGATGTCTCGCTTAGCAACATGAATTTGCGGCTCAGTTGCAGTTGTAACCCGGGGAGTCCCTGTACGCTCTAAGGCCTGAGCCCTCTTACTCACTCTCCACGGAGAGGTTGAAAGACGCCTGGGCTTGGCCAAGAGAGTTCCTCGCCCAACACTCGTAGCTCCCTTCGTCCTTCAGGTTGACGTCTCGGATCTCCAGCCTCAAGGAATTTGGGGAGGAAGCAGCCCTCAGCTTCTGGCCTGGCACCCCACGGACTTTGGAGGAGCTGGACGCCAAGACTTGGTCAGCACGGCGAAGGGACAGCACGGAAGGAGGGTTGCTCTCAGCGGTGCACAAGATGATCGCCAGCTGCCCTTTCTGGATCTCCAAGAAGGACTTGACCAGCACATTCCTGGGTGGATCTTCCAGGAAAAGAGGAGAGAGGTTAGGCTGTAGATATGTCATAGACTAGAAGCAGGGACCCCCAGGGTCGGAAGAGATCTTGGAGGTCTCCAACCCCCTGCCTGGATAAGAACCTGAGACCATCCTGAAGGACAGTTGAGACTTTGGAAAAAGGGCAGAGAAGAGCAACTAAGAGGATCAGAGGCCTGGAGACTAAAACATACGAAGAACGGTGGCAGGATTTGGGTCTGGCCAGTCTAGAGCAAAGAAGGGCGAGAGGGGCTGTGATAGCATCCAATGAAGAGGGGGGTCCACCTATTCTCCAAAGCACCAGAAGGCAGGACAAGAAGCAACGGATGGAACCCAATCAAGGAGAGAAGCAACCTGGAATTAAGGAGAAACTTCCTGACAGTGAGGACAATTAACCAGTGGAACAACTTGCCACCAGAAGTTGTGGGTGCTTCATCACTGGAGGCTTTTAAGAAAAGACTGGGGTGCCATTTGTCTGAAAGGGCATAAGGTCTCCTGCTTGAGCAGGGGGTTGGACTAGAAGACCTCCAAGGTCCCTTCTAACTCTGTTATTCTAGTTTGCCCCAGCAGTGAGGATGTTGATGTCAGCATTCTGATGCTGCCATAAAAAGGAGGAGACGAGGCTTGACTTTTCACCTAATTATTTTCTCTGTAGATAATATTCCCTAGGAGATGGGATGGGAGGGGGGAACATTCCTGTAGGGTGAGGTCAGAAGCTGGGGAGACTGACTTGGAAGATGGCCAATGAGAAGATGAGAATTGGGGAACGGGAAGGGAAGGGTTTGGGGGTCGGAGGGTTAGTATCGGCTACGACGAAGTTGGGGCCAGATCTGTCGTACTCAATAAATGGAATATTTCAGCAAAGATTAATTGTTTGGGAGTGCAATTTATTTGAGATGACATCGAAACCTGACAGTTACCTAGTTGGGTAACAATCAACCCCAGAGAGCACCAAGAACCCTGCAGTCCTTTTCCTCCTCCTCCTCCTCCTCCTCCTCCTCCTCCTCCTCCTCCTCCTCCAAGCCCCCTCCCTTCTAGCACTGAGGATATAACTTAGTTGAGTCATGAAACGTCTTCAAGAATCAACCAAGCTCAACGAGTATCAAGGACCCCACAGTCCTCCTCCTCTCCTCCTCCTCCTCTTCTTCTTCTTCCTCCTCGCAAACCCCGTCCCTTCTAGCAGTGGTAATGTTACTAAGCTTGTTAATGGTGGCGCAGCAGACTAAAGCGCTGTTAAAGTAGCACCAGCTGCCTGCAATTACTGCAAGTTCAAATCTCCCCAGGCTCAAGGTTGACTCAGCCTTCCATCCTTTCGAGGTAGGTAAAATGAGGACCTGGATTGTGGGGGCAATAAGCTGACTTTGTATATATTAAAAAAACACCGCTTAGGGGGCCCCTGAAAGCCCTACTAAGCAGGTATATACAAAAGTGTGAAGGCTATTGCTTAATGCATTGTAAGCCACCCTGAGTCTCCGGAGAAGGGCGGCATATAAATCGAACCAACAAATAAATAAATAAATAAATAAATAAATAAATAAATGAACGAATGAATGAACGAATGAATGAATGAATGAATGAATGAATGAAAGAAAAAGTCCAAGCTCAGAGAGCGCCCAGCACCCAAAGCAGGTATTCCGAAAAGGACACCAGTCCTCCAGCAGCCCCCTCATCCTAAGGCCATGACACGCAGGAGGTGCAACCTGTCTTAGGGGGAAGCAGATTGCATTAGGCCAGTGATGGCTAACCTTTTTGCCGTCCTGTGCCAAAAGGAGGGGGAGCACGGGGGGTCATGCGCGTGTGAGCCCACACCCATAATTCAGTGCGCCCCGTCCCCCTGCATTCGACCTCCCCCCCAGTGCTTCCCCCACTTTTGGCACGCGATGGCACGGTGGGCCTGGTAGGCCTGTTTTTTTGCCCTCCCCAGGCTCCAGAGGCTATCTTGGAGCCTGGGAAGGGTGAAAATAGCCTTCCCCATTCCCTGGAGGCCCTCCGGAGGCCGGAAACAGCCTGTTTCCCAACTTCTGGTGGGCCCGGAAGGCCCGAAAATCAGCTGGCGGAGCTGTGCTAAGGCAACGCTCATGTGCCCATCGATATGGCTTCGCATGCCACCTGTGGCACACGTGCCAAAGGTTTGCCATCACAGCATTAGGCCATCAAATTTAGCGCCCCCCCTCCGCCCTTCCCCAGGACCTACAGAGGACATTCAGGGTGCTTAAGGAGGAATTGCGCATCCTTTCTCGGGTCTGGACGGTGCAGTAGTAGGTCCCGGCATCTTCTATGGTAGCCTGGTGTAACACCAGAGTCCGGACCAAGCCTTCTGCATACCACTCGTTGTTCTTAAACCAGATGTAGCGCATGTCCCCGACAGCGTCCGAGTCAACGGCACAGGTCAGATTGACGGAGTTCCCTTCCAGGGCATCTGGAGGAGAAATCCAGAGCTTTGCGGCTAGAAGGACAGAAGGGAAAGAGAAGGCCTGTGATTGGCACATCCAGGAAGGTCTCTGGATTTATATTCGGGATTCTCTGGAAAGAGAGTGGTCAACAGATCCTTAACCAGATCCCCTCCCCTCCTCCCCCTGAAATATTTGGGTCTTGCAAAATCAGAATGAATTGCTGAATTGCATTCAGAGGAGTTTGAAATGGTATACTGTAGTTTTGTGCCTGAGCAGGGGGTTGGACTAGAAGACCTCCAAGGTCCCTTCCAACTCTATTCTATTCTATTCTATTCTATTCTATTCTATTCTATTCTATTCTACTCTACTCTACTCTACTCTACTCTATTCTATTCTTTTCTATTCTATTCTATTCCGTATTTTCTATTCTGTTCCATTCTGTTCTATTCTGTTCTGTTATTTTATTACATGTATTTAATCTATTATATTTATATGTCCTCCAACTCACTATTGAAATGACTCTGGGCAGCTTATATGTCAATATTGGGGTGTAACTTTCATTTTAGGTGTTTGTTCTCCATGGCTGAAAAGTTTTTCTCCTTTGTGGTGTAGAGAAAATGCTTTAACTTTTTTACAAGTCCACCAAACATGAAAATAGGTAGCATCAGCACAATCACATCTCCAACATTTGGGTTGTAAACTCGGGTACATACAAGCTAACTTTTTGGGATCCAAATGCCATCTATAAAACATTTTATAAAAAATTTTCTCTCAGATTTTGAGCTTGTGTAAATTTTACATTTCTTACCCAGATCCTTTCCCATGTTTCCATCATTATTGGTTCCTCGAAATTTTGTGCCCATTTTATCATACAATCTTTAACTAACTCTGTCACCGAGTCTATTTCTATCAATATATTATACAACCTTTTTATGTGCATTTGACTATGGTCCCTAATTTGTTTTATCAAATGAGAAATTTCCATTTCTTCTTTTTGATTTATATTCATGTTATGCATAGTTTCAAAGACTTGTTTTCCAAGATTCTGGTAGCAGGAGGCCTACACCTCAAATGTTGGAGATAGAGAAGCAGATGTAGATGCTTACTAAGCAGATAGTAAAAGAGCCATGTGCATAAGTACAACTGATGGGTATCTTCTCCATGCAAAAGTCATTGAGGATCAGAGGTGGGTTTCAGCAGGTTCTGACCAATTCTGGAGAACCGGTAGCGGAAATTTTGAGTAGTTTGGAGAACCGGTAGTAAAAATTCTGACTGGCCCCGCCCCCATCTATTCTCTGCCTCCCAGTTGATCGGGAGGAAATGGGGATTTTACAGTAACCTTCCCCTGGAGTGTGGTGGGAATGGAGATTTTACACTATCCTTCCCCTGCCACACCCACAGAACTTCAAAAGCTTTGAGCACACTGACGATGACTCCTCGAATGGTGACGAAATGCTTGCAACTAAAATTGCCAAGCTTGGAGCTCAGACCAGCATACTTCCCCCTTTTTCCTTCTTCATTCTTGGAACTAAGTTTATGGATGGAGGAGAAACCTCCAGGCATTGGCTGATTGGCTGGCTGTTAGTCCCAGCTTTTGCCAAGCCAAGGGTGGGGTAACTAATGATGCAGAAGGATTGCCTTTCAGCACAAAGTGCACAGCTGACACCACAAAAGGCTTACACAGCCGTAGCCATCGGTGAAGTCTGTTAGTCTCTGTTCTCTTGGCACCGGGTGTAGCCCACCGCACTCGGTTTTGCAGTGAGGATGATCAGACCCCAAGTTAAGCAAAACCAGATTCTCCAAGCATCTATTTTGGTCCTCAGTTTTCCATAGGTTTTGCTTTTTGGCTTTTCTGTTTCCTCTAAAAGGAGCTTTTTTGTTCAGCCCCCTTGGAGTCTTCTTGTTTGACATATCGGGGCATTACATAGACCAGTGTTTCCCAAAGTGTGGTACGCGTACCCCCAGGGGTACAGGAAGAGTTTGGTGGGGGTACGCGTTGCACCGGAGTTTGGTGGGGATCACATGGGAATATCCACTGCACCGTGCTTAGCTGCGCCCACAGAACAAGGAAAGAAATAGGCGCGTATTGCAGTTTTTACACGGGAACTGGGGCCATCGTACATCGTATCACAACTCATTATGGTGGGAACTTCTGCGCATCTTTCGCGCAGCTTGGGTTCGGCCATTTTTAAACTGCGGGAACATTAACAGTTGACGTTGAGCCGCGGAGCTGTTTAAACGCCGGAGAATTGCAGTGTTATCTAACGGTTAGACAGTCAATGCGTTAAGCAATAGCCTTCATACTTTTGTATATTTATACAAGGTCAGCTTATTGCCCCCACAATCTGGGTCCTCATTTCACCTACCTTTGAAAGGATGGAAGGCTGAGTCAACCTTGAGCCTAGTGAGATTTGAACTTGCAGTAATTGCAAGCAGCAGATGTTAATAACAGTGCTTTAGTCCATGTACTACAGGCTCTTCTAACTTTATGTGTGCTGCGTTCTTTGGGGTCCGTAGCTGGGGAAGAACACTTCCTTGAAGGCTTCCATATTGTTCCTCTTCCTGCTCCTGAGGCTGGACCAGAAGAAGCTCACATCAAGAGGGGCTACGTCAGGCAACTGCGATTGGCATGGAGATAATCGGAGGAGCTGCAGGGAGTGTGCTAAACCAGTATTTCTCAACCTTGGTAGCTTGAAGATGGGGGGACTTCAACTCCCAGAATTCGGAGCTGAAGTCCCCCCATCTTCAAGCTTCCAAGGTTGAGAAACACTGTGCAAAACGGTAAAAGCCAAAAAAAACATTGTCCTGCACGAAAGAGGGAGGTTGCCAAGGGAAATGCCTGGAATTAGGGAACAAGAAGTCCAGTGAAAGAAGCAGATGGGGTCTTCTCCTCGCCCTGAACGATCCCCCAGCTGCGCTCTGAATAGGATGAAATCTGAAACCTTCCCACCGGTCCGTTTTGTTGCTACTGTATTTGATGGAAACAAATGAGGCAGCCTTTCTCAGATAGAGAGATATAGATAGATATAGAGATAGATAGATAGATAGATATAGATAGATAGATAGATAGATAGATGGAGATAGATAAATAAATAGATAAATAGATAGAGATAGATAGAGATAGAGATAGATAGATAGATATAGAGATAGATAGATAGATAGGTGGAGATAGATAAATAAATATATAGAGATAGATAGATAGATAGATAGATAGATAGATAGATAGATAGATAGATACCAACAAAGATGATTAAGGGGCTGGAGACTAGAACATACAAAGAACGGTTGCAGGAACTGTGTATGTCTAGTCTAGAGAAAAGAAGGACTAGGGATGACATGATAGCAGTCTTCCAATATTTGAGGGTCTGCCCCAAAGAAGAGGGGGTCAAATTATTCTCCAAAGCACCTGAAGGAAGGACAAGAAGCAACTGATGGAAACTAATCAAGGAGAGAAACAACCTGGAATTAAGGAGGAATTTCCTGACAGTGAGAACAATTAACCAGTGGAACTGCTTGCCACCAGAAGTTGTGGGGGCTCCATCACTGGAGGTTTTAAAGAAGAGACTGGACAACCATTTGCCTGAAATATAACATTTCCTGCTTGAACAGAGGACTGGACTAGAAGACCCCCAAGATCCCTTCCAACTCTCTTATTGTGTTCTGTGAAATAGTTTAAATCCTACTTCCGTCCACCCCAGCATTTCTCAATCTTGACAACTCTGAGACTTCAACTCCCAGAATTCCTCAGATCTTTTAATACGGCGAAGGTGGAGAAAAGGTGGACTAACCTCCCCATTGCAGCTCAAAACTCAGATCTGAATACCTATCTGGGAGAGAAACCTGTTTATCAGGAAATTAGGAGATCTTCTTAAAAACGAAGCCCAGGTGCTGAGACCTGCCGCTATCTTCTGCCTTTGGTGCCCAGCGGTTGCTGACCTTTTTCCAGTCTGCAGTTGTTGTTTTTTAAGCTGACTCGTCGGTTGGTTGAAACAAGGGTTCCTTAAACAGACTTTCTTCCCATTTTCTAAAGGGCACAGCGAAGAACTGACCAACTGAGATTTGAACCCAGTTTTGGATAATGGAAGAAAAATCAGGTAGAAATAAGTTACTATCTGCCAGCACTATCACCCTAGGCTGCATCAAAAGAGGGATAGAATCAAAATCATGTGAAGCATTTGTATCGCTTTATAAGGCCTTGGTAAGACCACATCTGGAATCCTGCATTCAGTTTTGGTCACCATGATTTAAAAAAGATGTGGAGACTCTGGAAAGAGTGCAGAGAAGAGCAACCAAGAGGTTTAGGGGACTGGAGGCTAAAACATACAAAGAACGGTTGCAGGAACTGGGTATATCTAGTCTGGAGAAAAGAAGGACTAGGGATGACATGATAGAAAGTCTTCCAATATTTGAGGGGCTGCCCAAAAGAAGAGGGAGTCAACCTGTTCTCCAAAGCACCAGAAGGCAGGAGAAGAAGCAATAGATGGAAACTAACCAAGGAGAGAAGCAACCTAGAACTAAGGAGAAATTTCCTGACAGAACTATTAATCGTTGGAATGATTTGCCTCCAGAAGCTGTGAGGGCTCCATCACTGGAAGTTTAAGAAGAGACTGGACAGCTATTTGTCGGGGAATGGTTAAGGGTTGGAGGAGAGAGTTGGACCAGAAGACCTCCAAGACTTCCAATTCTGTTCTGTTCTGTTCTTTCCCAACATGCAAAGCGACTCTTAGTCTAGGCAACCTCAAGAAGAACCTGAAGCTAAGGTCCACCTTACCTTCTCAAAGACAGCAGTTGCTCCTGCTCTGGGACTCCTGTGGAACTCTCAGCTTCAGGTTGGAGACACCATCAAAAGATGCTCGGAGACTCCAGGTGGGATGCTAATATGATTCTGAGGTCCGTGGGGTCCAGAGGAGAATGTGGGTTCCTCTTTGGGGCAGCTTTATTGTCCTCCGTTTTCAGGAAGTCCTTTTGGAGAGTCAGCAGTTCTTATCCCATGCTTGGCTTCTTCACATACTTCTCTCTGGACATCAGTTCCTGGGAGAGGAAGAAGGCGGTGATTGTATATCTGGTCTCTCGAGGTCAGCATGATGGTGGGGGTTGGTTCTCCAGCGGTGGAGGAAGGAGGCCACTGAAGGAGCTCATGCATCAACTGTGACTTATCTAGGCACGTCCTGATTAAACTTGGGGTAGTGGAAGTGGGGACTGTAAAGCAGAGTTTGGGGAATGACCCCACCCCAAGATTGGCCAACCTTTGGATTTCGA